CCTTAAAAAGAAGCCTTTCTTTATAACTATACCCTGTATGAGTCTTCCTAGAGGGAGAGAGTTAGTGATTTGCAGTCATTAGTTCTTTTCGCATTTATTGCTTTTGACTTGAAAACAGCAATTACCGTATTTTAAAGTCCTTTTAATTTTCTGGCATTTCTAATGAAGGCAGAAGCCTTCATTACATAATTTGAACTTTCATATTAAATATACATAGTAGAAAATTCTTCATTGGGAATATATAGCTAGGCCTATTTAAGATTAGAAGCATTTAATGTCAGCAATTAAAAGATCAGTGATAAAAAAGATTTTAGCACAACTCTTGGTATATACAATAATATGAGACAAGTGCTGGAATATTCTATAGAGGGATTATGCATGTGATTAAGATGCTACCAAAGTGGGTATAACAAAAGAAAATGGGAAGTTTTGTTTCAATATACTTATTTGATATACACATAAGTTTAGTTTATTTTGAAAATATTAAATTATGCATTATATAGTGTTCGATATTGGGGGATGGAGAGGAGACACCATAATCTTCCCATTACTAAGGAACTATAAAAATCCCAATTCAGCCTTATGTGGAATGTAAGGTATGGTAAGTTTAAAAGGTGTGTTGCAAAAAACCTTTTACTTACTATAAATATGATTCTTTCAAATTAGATGCAAAATATACTAAGTGTTTTTATTGTTTAGGTTGATCAAAAATTTGCTTACATTAAAGTGTGTAAAATTCAATGTTAGTGAAAACCTTCAAACACAAGTAATTTTTGCACCTAACATTGGAATGGAAAACGTGTACTTAATTCCTTTAAAATAGGTGGAAAAAGAGGTACAAATTTCCAGTTATAAAATAAATAAGTCACAGGGATGTAATGTACAGCACAGAGAATATACTGAATAGTATGGTGATAAATTTGTATGCTCTAAGATAGTTCATTAGACTTATTGTGGTGATCACATCATTGAGTATATAAATGTTGAATAACTATTGTACACCTGAAACATATAACATTGTATAGTAACTATATTTTTATTTTAAAAATTTTTTAAAATACAGTGGAACCAGAACCAACCAAAAGTCATTTCCAAGATCACATCCTTAGAGGATACACTCTCAGACAGGAAACTGAGTGTAAGGGAAGAATTCTTACTAGAAACTCATATTCATCACTTCATCCAATCACAGTTTGCCTCAATATTCTATTGTTCAAATTTTAAACATACTAAAGAAGGTTAAAAGACAACCAATGAACACCTTTATATCTTCCACAAAGAGCAGTTGATTAATTTTTTTACATACTTATATGAAAATATGGTACAAATATCATGACTTATTAAACTTGAGGACTTTTGCATGCATCGCCTAAGAACACAGGCATTGTCTTATATACCTCAAAAACATTATCACTTCTAGAAGTGATACCCACTCCATACTCATATTTCAACTGTCCATTATAGTTGTTTTTAATTTTTCTGAATCAAAAGCCAATTAAGGGTCACACCTTGCATTTGTTTATATCTTTTAAGCATCTTAATCTACAAGAGTCCACCTTTTGTTTCATTACATTGGCTTTTCGCCAATGTAATGCAGACCAGTTGTTCTTGTACAATGTCTCAAACTACTTGCTGTGTAATTCAACCTTTTTCCTCTATTCCTTGTATTTCTCACAAATGATAGGCCTAGATAACAAATTAGACTTTTGTTCAGCATTTTTGGCAGGAATGCATCCCAGATGGCCACATGTGCATCAGAAGTCACACAGTGACAGGTTGTCCCCTCAGCAGTGAAACAAGTTTGACAGCCGGACCTCTCCATTATAAAGACGTGTCTTCCCTTTGCACTTGGTATCTGTGATCTTTTGACACCATGTACAATTTTTTTCATCTAACAGTTTTTACCACCTATTGAATGTACCTAATTTAATTAATCACATTAACAGTTGGAAAATGGTGGTATTTCTAAGTCACTCATTCAATGTACAAAGACAGAAGTCTTCAAATAAGTTTATAAAATTTTCCTTTATCTTTATAGGCTTATTTTTATTTAGCATGTTATAACTGATTACACTGATTATTCTTTTTCATGTTTAAATTGTCCTAAATTTGACCCGTGGAATGTGCATTGAAGTCAGCTCCAGTGTCCTTCTGGCATTATCCCATTAGTTTTGAGTGCTCTGTTTTTGTTTTGTTTCATGAAAAGTATTCCAAGAACACCTTACACTTCTGCTCCAAATATGGAATCAGTCACTACTCCGAGGAGCCCTGGTTCTTTTTAGTGGAAATGGCATTTAGAAACCAAAATCTGAGTACTGAGCATGGTCGCTGCTACTGGGTAACCAAATATGTTTTATCTAGAATATCTTGCAAATGTGTTTTTAAAAGCTTCCTTTTCCTTGTAAATATACTTAAATATATAAAAGGGTTCTAATGAACTAAGACAAGTGATAAAATGTTCATATATCACTTTAGACAAAAGAATTTCTGAAAGCCATGGTTGCTGTGGCTTGGTTGGTTGGAGCATTGTTTCATAAACCAAAAGGTTGTGGTTTCGATTTCTGGTAGGGGCACATGCCTGGGTTGCAGATTCAGTCCCTGGCCAGTACAAGAAGCAATCAGTCAATGTTTCTCTCCCCTTCTCCCTCCTGTCCCCTCTCTAAAACCAATAAGCATGTCTTCAAGATGAGGATAAAAAAAAGAATTTCTGAAAGATATGGAACAAAAACAAAATCTGGAATGTGAAACCCCCCGAAAGCAATTTCACTATCTGGATCTCAGTTGGGTTTCAGGATTTATGTACAGTTATTATAAAGGCATGTATAATTAAAGGCACATAAGAAGGATCAACATGATTTTAAGTCAATTATTAAGATTAAAGTGAGAGGAAACACATCAAATATAAAAATAAAACTGTTTAAATTACAATTATGCCTGACCAGTTTACAAAACAAAGTAGTCTTGGGACGTGAGGTAGGAAATGAACCTATAATTACCACAGAAAACCAGAGTGGAAGACCTAGATTAGTCTTGGCTCTGCCCAATAGCTCAATGTTTCATTAGTAAAATGAAAGGGTACAAATAAACTAAATTAAAATCTCTCCTCCCTCTAGTGATCTACCAGATGAATCCTCAGATTCTGCAAATATAAACCTTTGTAACTGATGAGAGGATTCACATGAGTCTCTGCCCCTTCCTCATTTTACTCTGCCTTTTATGGGGCTGTAAAGGGTTCTATAAAGTAATGCAGAACCCCATCAAATTTAGAAACAATGTAAAAAAGGAAATGGAGAGAGTCCATTTGCACAAAATTTTAACTTTCAAAACTAAATTCTAATAAAACATTTTTAAAACCATCAGACTTTTGGAAAAATATATATTCCAAAACTCTGTGTGTGTGTGTGCGTGCGCGCACACATGCAGTCTGAGCAAAGTCCAGCCACTGTTAATGTAACGAGAATGGTTTGTGCAATATCAGTGTAGCCTGGCAGCCAAGGAGAGGGGCCTGGAATACATGTGCATGAACAATGATGACTTCACTGTACTAGTCAGTCGGAGTGGTAGACACCATTGAGTGAGCATGTATGCTGTGTGGCTGTCACATTCAAACTGATTGAACGAGTACAGCAACAAATGTGCATCAAATGTTGCATTAGGCTCAAACATTCTTTCACAGAAACTATTCAGATGATTCAGAAGGCCGCAGCAATGGGCAACTGGTGTGCCTTCACCTTCTGAATCATCTGCATGATTGGCAGCTTCATCACAACATGCCTGCCCATGCATCACAGCTCATGCAAAATTCTTTGGCAAAACATCAAATCACCCAGGTGACTCAGCTCCCCTACAGGCCCGATTTGCTACCCTGCAACTTCTGGCTTTTCCCAAAACTAAAATCACCTTTGAAAGGGAAGAGATTTCCAATCATCGATGAGATTCAGGAAAATACAACGGGGCAGCTGATGGTGACGGAGAACTGTGAGGCCCCAAGGTGCCTACTTTAAAGGGGACTGAGGTATCATTGTCCCATGTACAATCTTTCTTGCATCTTCTTCAATAAGCCTCTATTTTTCATAATACATGGCTGGCTGGTTACTTTAACAGTGTGTGTGTGTGTGTGTGTGTGTGTGTGTGTGTGTGTATGAAGACCCCACCAAAAAAATGAGATTATCTTCTAGAGGCTTGGCCCCTTGTAGTACAGGCTTCCCCTGCTAGGTGAGTGTACTAGGAATCCATCTGTATCATGTACCACTGGTGGTGTTGTGAGAGGTTGTTTGACTTCTCTGTGTGTGTGTAAAACTTGCTGGTAAAGCAATTTATTAATTTCCATAGGAAAATTTTATTATAAAGAGTTTCTTTTTAGCTTTACTTCTCTTCATGATAAAGAACATACCCTATGTCTCCCTGCCATTTTAAAAAATAAGGTCCCACACTTACATTAATAACCAATTGACTTTTTTTTAAGAATTTTTTATTTTTAGACAGAGGGGAAGGGAGAGAGGGAGAGAAACATCAGTGTGTGTCTGCCTCGCATGTGCCCCCTACTGGGGACATGACCTGAAACCCAGGCATGTGCCCTGACTGGGAATCAAACCTGTGACCCTTTGGTTTGCAGGCCAACACTCAATCCACTGAGCCACACCAGCCAGGGCCAAATGACTGTTTTTAAAAGACAGTTCATGTTGAAGCTTACTCTTAAAAAGGGAGTAAAGTCTAAAGAAACAAAATTTGCATTCCATTATTTTCATTTTTTTTGTTTGGCTTTTACATTTTTCTATGAATTTAAAAACTTGTTTTTGCAAACAGAGTTTAGTGCTTATAAAATTTGACAGGTCAGTGCTTTTCATAGTTTCATTGATAAATTTTATCATTACTTAGTAGTAACTGGTATTTTTTTCTCCTGGAGAAGTAAAAAGCCTTACTCTATCAGGAGGCTGTGCCTTATTTATTATTCTCCTTATTATTTTCCAGTGAGAAGTCTTAAAGTATTTGAAAGGCAAATTAAAACTCCACAGGGCTTACCTCCTCTAATAAATCTCTGACCCCATATTCCTTCCATTTAGACTTTTTCTTTAGTGTGAACTTTTTTGTGTCTACATAGGTTTGATCTATAACTGTAGGCTTTCCCACATTCCACACATTTATAGAGTTTCTCTCTGGTATGAATTCTCTCATGTTCAGTTAGGATTGAATATTGGCTGAAAGATTTCCCACACTGTCCACACTGATAGGGCTTCTCTCCAGTGTGAGTTCTCTGGTGCCTATAAAGGTTGGATATGCACCCAAAGGCTTTCCCACATTCTCCACATGTATAAAGTTTCTCCCCAGTATGAATTTTACGATGTTCATTAAAGGATGAATACTGGTTGAAGGTTTTCCCACATTCATTACACTGATAGGGCTTCTGTCCAGTATGAATTTGCTGATGTTCAACAAGAGTTGAGATGCAGGTGAAAGTTCTCCCACATTCCAAACATTTACACAGTTGTTCCCCAGTATGAAGCCTCTGATGTTTCGCCAGATAAGTAAGCTTGCTGTAGCCTTTCCCACATTCATGACATTTATAGGGTTTCTCACCTGTATGGATTCTTTGATGTCTATAAAGTTTTCCTCTACAGCTGAAGGCCTTCTCGCAGTCACCACATTTATAGAGTTTCTCTCCAGTATGGATTCTCTGATGTACAGTAAGGGTTGAGCGCTGGCTAAAGGCTTTACTGCACTCCTTACACTGATAGGGTTTCTCTCCAGTGTGCACTCTCAGATGTTTGATAAGAGTTGAACTGCTGCTAAATGCTTTCTCACATTCATTACATTTGTATGGTTTCTCTCCAGTATGAATTCTCTGGTGGACAAGAAGGGATGATCTATGGCTGAAATTTTTCCCACACTCATTACATTTGTTGTATTGCTCACTGGTATGAATTCTCTGGTGTTCAGTAAGATGAAGACTCTGACTGAAGCTTTTCCCACAAGCGTTACAAATATGAGGTTTTTCTCCAGAATAAATTTGGGAGCATTTCACTGTATCAAAATCCTGTTTAAAATCTTTCCCAAAAGTATAATATATATTAGGTGTCCTTTCTATAGGAGCACTTTGTTGTGTAACGAGAACTGTATTTATAAATAAGCCTTTCTCTAATTCAAGACTAATGTGGTTTCTATCACTACAGATGGTTTTCTTGTGTGAGGCTACCATTTGCCTAAAAGGTTTCTTCTGTTGTTCTTGTCCTGCTCTGCTCTCAAATTCCAAAACTTCTTCAAACTTGATGCCCCAATAACCAAACTTAGTGGATTTTTTCTTTATTATTCCCTGAGATGTTTCTTTTACAAAAATGTCCTGTCGGGGAGGCAATGCTTCTATTTCAGGCCAAGTCTTGAAATCTGGAATGAATTAGAAGAATTAATGCCGCCTCTGTTGGAAGAGGTTAACATGCATTGGTGGGACACTAACATCAGCAATAATACATTCAGAGAGGTTTCATACCATCTGATCTCAAATATGGACTTGAATCTGGAGAAAAACAGGATGGAATGGAAAGAGAGGTTAATAGGTTAAGGAGAGGTGTGGGAGAATACACTAGACAGATTAACACTGAAGATGAAGAGATCACAACTTGAGAGAAGTAAAGATAGACACAGAACTGGTTGAGCAGAAAAGTATGAGGACACAGGAAGTGACCAGCTCACACTGAATTCTATGGGATACTTCAGTGTATCTTTACTTCCTACTCTGAGCATGCTAGGCATGAGGCACATAACCTGTCTTTAATATTTTCTCCTTTCTACTCACATGTTGCTTTTATTACATTTCCCCCCACGCTTTCACTGAAATTCTATACACAAGAATTTTAAAAGTATGTGCAATATTTTTCTTAAATTTTGTGATTTTGTATGTGAATGATTTCATACCAGTCTGTGAAAAGAAAAAAAGTCTGTTAAAAGAGGAAGTTCAGGTTTTAAAACTTACAACAGCCCTGAAGCATGACTGCGTTGATGCTATCTGACCTAAGTTCAAGATGCTAATTATAAAGAAGAGAAAAAATAGAGAGTACATCAGCCATGTGCAACAATCTATCCCTTGTGAATGGAAAAATAAGTTTTTTCATACTCTCCTTCCCTGTTTCTGTTTGAGCAGGAGAAGAAATAGACATATTCATTTATTCTAATAAGCTGCAACCAGATGGTTGAACTCTCTGTAGGAATCTTTTGGTTGTGGGTTAGAGGAAATAAACCTATTTAGGGAAGACTTATTGACTGAAGAAGAAATCCAAGTCAGAATGAGTTTAAAATGTTGTTAAGCAGGACGAGGGCACACCCAGAGTTCTGGAACAAATGACCAAGGAATCGAGAACAGTAATACAGATAATAGAAGGTGTTGTAGGTTTTCAGGCAGGGTCATTTTAGTAAGGGAAAAAAGGGGTCATTTTAGTAGGCAGCTTGAGTCCAAGGAAGAATAGCTTGAGGGGTTTGGCTGGTCAGAGAACTGGATTTTAGGCCTCATCGGCACTGAGCTGATCATGCAGGGAATGCAATTACATTTAAAAAAATTTTAATAACTGCATTACATTAGAGGCTAGAGGCACAGCATTCCTTCAATATGTGTAACATAACTAGGAAAATAAATTATAATGATAATTCATTACCATAAATACTGTAATGGGTATGTCCAAGGTACATAGAAAGTGCTACGTCGATGCAAACGAATGAAAATGAAAGCTGAATGGGAAGTAGAAAAGATAAAGCAAACCTACATATAAAGGGTGGCATTTTAGGCAGTCGCGTGGATCTTGAAGGATAAGCAGTTTTGCGGTGGGCAAGATGGAAGGAAGAGGCAATTCAAGCCGAAGGAATAACCCACAAATGTTAGTGCACGTGCGGGCTTGCCCAGAACATGGCGGTGGCGGTGACGTTAAAGCGGCCACTGATGAGACTGAGAAGGAAAGCGGGACAGATTCTGAAGTAGGTTTTCATGTCACACTAAGGATTTACTTTACTCCATGGATAATGGGGAAACAATGAAGTCTCTTAAGATCTGGGATTAACACCTATGTTTCAAAAACACCACTCTGCTGGTGGCATGGACGGTGGCTAAAAAAACACGGCTCAGCCAGAGTGAACACTGTTCCCACAGTTCATAAGGCCTGTGGCGGCGGGTGGGGTAAGCTGAAATTAGAAATGTCTAAATTAAAACCACGATCTGTATGCTACCCTGCACTATCTACTAAGTCGTTGCTGGGAGAAAACTGTATTTTAATAAAGATGAAAAGTATCTGTTGAGAAAGTGAGCAAAAAAAAGGAAAAAACACCTGATGTCAATGAAGGCAAGAGTCATAGATTTCAGACACAAAGATAGAAGCAAATTATTGCAAACCTATGTCACATGGTGAATAGAATGGCACTGGTGACACAGATTTATGTCACTGCATCCAGCTTTTTAGCTCGGTAATTGAAGTATGTTAAAATTTCTAGACCTGACTGGTGTGGCTCAGGGTTTGGGGCATTGTCCCGCAAAGCAAAAAGGTCACTGGTTCGATTCCCTGTCAGGGCACATGCCTGGGTTGTGGGTTTGGCCCCAGTCGGGAAGTGTGTGAGAGGTGACCGATCGATGTTTCTGTCACACGATGTTTCTCTCCCTCTCTTTCTCTCTCCCTTCCCTCTCTCTAAAATAAATAAATAAAATCTTTTTTAAAATAAATAAATAATGAAATCTCTAATGCTGTTGCTTCAGACATAAGAAGTAGTATCTAAATTTGATCACCTGTAAGTGACCCTTCTACTCTAGCAACATACAGTGTTATGATAAAGACCACAAGGTCCACCTGGGCTGGCCCAGCAGGTGGCAGACGCCATGTCCCTGGAGCGCCTGCCTCCGGCTGCCCCTGCAGTGTGACCACAGGGTTAAACGGCCACACCAGAGACCACCGGGCCCCCAAAACCAAAACGCGTGCTACCTGGCTGCTTACAGCAAAACTGTGCCGACCCCTGGCCTGGAGGGCTGCAGCAGCTGCGCCCGTGACAGCTGGGTGAGCCTAACAGTGAGAGATGATCGCTGGTCTCCAAACAACAACAGGAAAATGTTGAGAAGCCGGTGACAGAGGGCATTTGACATATGTGGTTGTTGAAAGAAGTGAAAGAAGATGATAAAGAACTGAAAACATGGATGGCAACAGGTGAAATGTATTTAAAATCTGTCGAATCCATGCAAATGTAGATGGAAAAGAAACTATGAAGAAAGAGCAAGAGGCCAAAAATGGAGAAGTGAGGGAGGCAAGCAATGGACAGGGGCCAAGAGCGGAGGAGATGTCAAGACAAGGCCTCCGTGACGGCCCTGACCAGCTCAGCCAGGCTCACTGTTCCCAGGCGTTGCCAGAGCCCTGCCCCTCCTCCCCCGACCTGCTCATGTAGGAAGACCCCCTGAGCCCACTTGCCAAGCACCCACTCACCTCGCCAAGGGTCTGGAGGAACTACTCCGTCCACTGGGCAGGGATCTTTTCCTTGCTGCAACAGGCAGATCACCTCTGGCATGGGAGACGCAGTCCCTGCTCATGAGGAAGGAGACGGAGTTTGAACAAAGGGCACGACGAGTAAGCCCAGACCTCGCACAGGGGCAGAGGCCGGGGCAGAGCCCGGGGCACAGCTGCTGGGGGCCGGGGCCGTGCGGCTGGGGCAGGAGGTGGGTCTCAGCTCAGAAACAGCACAGGGCCTGGCCGGTTGCCTCTGAGACGGGATCCAGTGTTTTCCAGAATCTGTCACGGAGTAGGAGGGAACCTGGGTTGGGGGGTGGAGCAGAAGGAAGGCACAGGAAGGAGACAAGAACAGCATGAAGGGCATCACGGCAAAAGGGCACGGTCAACGCTGAGAGACGCACCTTCCCAGGGGTGCGATGCGGTGGAAACTGCAGACTGAAACAGATCAGGGCCCTAAGGTCTCCCCAGCAGATTTTCCTGAGAAAATCTCCTTCCCCAGAGAGCCCAGGACATGGCAGGGCCTTACCCAGGGACGCCAGGCTGTGGTAGTTCTCCAGCATCACCTCCCGGTACAAGGTTCTCTGCGCAGGGCCCAGGCACAGCCACTCGTCCTGGCTGAAGAGCACGGCCACGTCCCCGAACGTCACGGACTCCTGTAATGGCAAAGCCCTTTCTGCTCGCCCAGGACCAGCTTCTCCACTGGAAGACTCGGTAAGAAGGTGACACTGGGCTGAGCAGCAATTCCGAAAACTCTCAGGATTCCAAGTCTTCATACCACCCACATGGGTTCCTGTGGGAGCCACGCACCATCTATTAAACAAATATTTACTTGAGTTCCCAGTGGGAGCAAAGGCACACGAGAGTGGGGCGGGGGTGGGGCTGGCGGGAGGCCAAGGCTGGAATCCATCCTGGATCTCTCAGAGTAATTAAGCACACGTATTGACTTCCTCCCTCCCACTCAAATCCAAGTTAAATTAAAGAAAAATCAATATCTTTAGAGCAATGCTGGGAAACGGGAAAGTGTGGCCAGGAGAACAGAAACAAAGGAACCTGAGACATAAGGAATACCACCCAATACTTGTTAAACACTTATATTTTGGGGACTGTGATAGGAGCTTTGTAAGAGTATCTAGTTTCACAGCAATCCTCTGAGAAAGACACATGATTAAAGTATTTTCCAGGTGAAGAAATAGTTCAGAAAGGTTCAGGCACCTTCCCAAAGCACTGTTAGAGAGTGGGGAGCTCAGACCGCAATCCAGGGAGACAGGTCTCTGTTGTCAGATGGGTTTCCATTGACTACAAAAATTTTTTAAAATACAAAAAATGAAAACAAAGGCCTGTGCCAGACACTGTAGGTGCAAGAGGGAACTGCTGAAAAAGTAAGTCCCGAGAGAGCTCCAGTCTGAACCCCCAAGTGTGGAAAGCAGAGAGGCGGGGCGGCAGCAGCCCTCGCAGGGAAGAGCTGGAGGGAGTGGGAACCCGTGAGACGCTTTGGCGGGTATTTCATTGAGAATCTATCAAAATGTGATAGGTACATAATTTTGACCTTGCAATCTACTTCTAGAATTTTACTACAAGAAATAATCACAACTACGCAGAGAGATTTGTTCAAGGTGTTCACTGAAACATCACTTCTAAGTTCATGGCGGTGACCAGCTGAGTAATGAAACTGCAAACGTTACATTCGTGACAGAGAGCCTAGGAAGAGCTGTTTAAATTACAGATTTTGAGATGCGGAGACTGTAATCACCACGGTCCCTGTTAGAAGGACCCAAGAAAGCCAGAGTGAGCAGAGGAGGAGGACATGAGGACAGAGGCAGAGACAGGAGCCATGCCCTTCGCAGACGCGCTGAGGGCCTCAAGCCAAGGCGCACAGACGGCCACGGGAGGGCGGCGACAAGGCCGGGACGCGGGCGCCCCGAGCCTCCAGAGGGGACCAGTCCTGCGAAGAGCCTGATCCGGCCCGGAGAAGCTGATTTCAGACCCCTGGCTTCCAGGATAGCACAGGTAATCAATTTAGGTTGTTTTAAGCCACTGAGTTTGTGTTCATTTGCTCCAGTAGCCATAGGAAGCTAATACAATGGTGAAAAATTACAGAAAATGGTGAACACTGAAGACAGGCATCAATAAGGGGATGGATAAGTAAATTATGGTACAAATGTTATACAGCCATTTTATAGAATAAATTAGTTTTGTATGCCTGAGGTCAGAATTTGCCCTAGACCTATTGCTGGAGTCATATGAAAAAGCAAGCTGCGCAACAATCAACTGCTGTTACCAATTCTTCATCTGTGTACGCATGGGGGCAGACAAAAACGCCTGAGGAATTCAGCAAACCATCACCCTGAGGAATTGCTGACGCTTGCAAAGAGGACAGAAAAGCAATCTTTCACTCATTACTTCACACCCTTCCATTTTTTTATAGCGCATGTGTGCTTGTTTTGAATATTTTTAGATTCCATTTTAATTTATGTGTTGACTTTTCAATTATACTCTTTGCGTTTTTTAGTGGTTTCTCTGAGAATTATAATACACATTCGTAATTCTTTATAGTCTATTTAGCGCTAATATACGGGTTCACCTAGAATGCAAGTGCCCCCTTCATGTCCTCGTCGCGCCTTCCCAGTCAAGACCGCCGGCAGGGCTCACCGAGCACATTCTGGGGAGGCCAAGGGCACGGCGCAGCAGGCGGGGGGCGCGCAGGGGAGCCGCGGAGAGAAGAGACACCCCGCGCACCGTCCCTTAACTGCACACGCAGGCTGTGCTGTGTCTGGGCCTGCATGAGAAATCACGGTCTGAGAGGCCTCCACGGAAAAACCCCAGCGGGGGCTGGGGGCGGATCGAGCAAGGCTTGTCAAACCATGGAGGTCAGCGGCGAGCCATCAGTGAAGCCAATGGCCCTGGGTATGGCCAGGGGCAGCTGTACCTTAAACAGTATTGTCACTGCTCTTACCTTGACCAGGAGTCAAAAAAGTCATCCAGGAGCGCAGAGACAGAGCAGAGCTTTCCCAGTCCAGATATAAATGAACCTGCCATGTCCACTAGAGCCCATACACTGCAAACTCCATGATGCGACACCATATTTTTGCTTTAAAAAATCACATGCTTTTCAAAGAAATTGAGAGGACAAAGTATTTTCTATGTATCCAAATAGCCACCATTTTAAATGATCTTCATTCCCTTCCTAAGCCTAGAGTTCCCATTTGCATTATCTCCCCTCAGCTTGAAGAACGTCCTTTGGTGCATCCTGTAGTACAGGCAGGCTGAGGATAATCGGCTTCATTTTCGTTTATCTGAAAATGGTCTTGTTTCACGTTCATCCTTGAAGAGTATTTTCTGTGGCTATAGAATTCTGGCCACTGTCTTCTGGTGACTGCTGTTCTGATGAGGAGCCAATGGGCATTCAAATATAGACTCACTGTATGGGATGTGACTTTCTTTCTTCTGTCTGCTTTCAGTCTGGAGTTTTCAGTGCGTGTCTAAGACTGTTCTGCCCAGTATGGCGGGCACTAGCCACAAATGGTCACTGAGTACTTGAAATGTGGCCAGTCTGAATTCTGATGTGTAAAATACATACCAGATAATTTACTAGAAAAAGTATACACACATATATCTCAATAATAATTTTATATTAATTACATGTTAAAAATAACATTTTAGATATACTGGGTTTAATAAAACATACTATTAAAGTAAATGTGTCTGCTTCTGTTTATTTTTTAATGTGACACCTAGTAAGCTTTAAACTACGCAGATGACTTGCATTCATGGTTCACATTATATTTCTGTTGCACAGCGTCGGTCAATAATGTGCTGACCTGTGGTTTTCTTTGTATTTATTCTGCTTGAGGTTCAGTGAGTATCATAAATCTGTAAATATGGGTTTGCTTCGATTTTTTTTTTACCAAATTTGAGAAAATTCTGGCCATTATTTCCTTTCCGTGTTTTGCCCCATTCTCTTGCTACTCTCCTTGAACTCCAATTACATGCATATTAGACCTTTAACATTGTTTTACTTATAACTGAAGCTCTTTTTCATCGCTATTCTTCAGCCAGGACAATTACTATTGATCTACCTGTAAGGTTCACGGACATTTCCTCATGTTCAGTTCCAAAAGTTTAGCAAATTCGGTGATTTTTTTTAAGTTTCAGGTACTTTTTAAAATCTTCACCCAAGGATATGATTATTGATTTTAGGAAAAGAAAAGGGGAGAGAGAGAAAAACATCGATGTGAAAAAGAACTATCATATCAATCAGTTGCCTCCCATCCGCACCCCAACCAAGTACCAAACCTGCAATCTAGGTATGTGCCCTGACCAGGGATTGAACCCACAACCTTTTGGTGTATGGGATGACACTCCAACCAACTGAACCACCCAGCCAGAGCAATAACAGGGGAAACCAGGTGCAGAGTAAATGGTGACTATGGTTTATCTTTGCAATTTTTCTCTAAGTCTAAAACTGTTCTTAAATAAAAATTTTTAAAAAGTTACAATACCAAAAACAAGTACCAATTTACTGCCAAAAAAACATGTAGTTAACACAGTATGATTATTAAGCAATCAACATCAACTTCCATGTGTCTTTTCCCCACAGGGTAGATCCGGCCAAGATGGAGCCGTAGGCAGAGACACTTCACTTCCTCGCATTACCAAAAGAAGGATAACAACCAATTTAAACACAAAAGATAACCGAAATTCCAGAAAATCAAACTGCATGGAAGTCCAAGGAGTGAAAGAAACTCATCCAGACTGCTGGGAGGGGCGGAGATAGGGGAGAGAGGACAAGCAGCAAGGCGGCGGCTGGCGGACCTGGACAGCTGATCCCACATTCGCCCGCATAAGCCAGGAGGAACAACAGGGGAGCGAGACAGACCACGAAACCCAGGGCTCCAGTGCCAGAAACTAAAGCTTCAAAACCCCTGGCTGTAAACCTCTGGGGGCTGCAGCGGTGGGAGAAACTCTCAGCCCCACAGGAGAGTCCATTGGAGAGGCCCACCAGGTCCCAAAACATACACAAGCCCACCCTCCCAGGAATCAGCACCTGAAAGGGCACAACCCACTTGCGGAAAGTGGGGCAAGAGCCGAGCAAGCAGCATTGTTCTCTCTGACCCGTCCCCCGCGCACACAGCGCCACAATGCAGCGGCCTGAGTTGCCCCCGCCCTGGCGAATGCCTGAGGCTCTGCCCCTTACAACATCACAGGTGCGCCTGAGACAGACAAACATGGCCCAAATGAAAGAAGAGATCAAAAGTGCAGAAAAAGAACTAAGCGACCAGGAGATAGACATCCTATCTGATGCAGCGTTTAAAACACTGGTAATCAGGATGCTCACGGAATTGATTGAGCTCAGTCACAAAATGAAGGAAGAAATGAAGGCTACACAAAGTGAAATAAAAAATAATATACAGGGAACCAATAGTGAAGGGAAGGAAACCAGGACTCACATCAACGATGTGGAACAAAAGGAAGAAATAAACATCCACCTGGAACATAATGAAGAAATGAGAATTCAAAAAATGAGGAGAAGGTTAGAAACCTCTGGGACAACTTTAAACGCTCCAACGTCTGAATCATAGGGGCGCCAGAAGGAGAAGAGGAAGAGCAAGAAATTGAAAACTTATGTGAACAAATAATGAAGGAAAACTTCCCCAATCTGGTGAAGGAAATAGGCTTCCTGGAGATCCAGGAAGCTCAGAGAGTCCCAAAGAAGTTGGACCCAAAGAGGAACACACCGAGACACATCATAATTAAGTTACCCAAGATTAAAGATATTGAGAGAATCTTAAAAGCAACAAGAGGAAAGGAGAGAATTACCTACAAAGGAGTTCCCATTAGACTATCAGCTGATTTCCCAAAAGGAACCTTACAGGCAAGAAGGGGCTGGAAAGAAGTATTCAAAGTCATGAAAGGTAAGGGCCTACATCCAAGATTAATCTATCCAGCAAAGCCCTCATTTAGAAGGGAAGGGCAGACAAAGTGCTTCCCAGATAAGGTCAAGTTAAAGGAGTTCATCATCACCAAGCCCTTATTATATGAAATGTTAAAGGGCCTTATCTAAGAAAAAGAAGATAAAAAACTATGAACAGTAAAATGACAACAAACTCACAACTATCAACAACTGAACCTAAAAGACATAAACAAAAACTGAGCAAACTAGAACAGGAACAGAATCACAGAAATTGAGATCACATGGAAGGTTATCAACAGGGAGGAGGTGGGGGGAGAATGGAGAAAAAGGTGCAGGGAATAAGAAGCATGACTGCTAGACACAAAATAGGCAGGGGGAGGTTTAGAATAGTGTAGGAAACTGAGAAGCCAAAGAACTTACAGGTACAACCCAAGGACATGAACTAAAGTGGGGGTGGGGGGGAAATGCTAGGGGCGGGGGAACTGAGGCACAAAGAGAGAAAACACTTGCCCAAGGTCACATCTGTAGCTTGGATGTGAACTCGTGAAAAAAGTCCCACAGTCCACGTTTTTAAGCTATGAGCTACCACCACCTTTTGCAAAAGCACCAGTGACTCCCAGGGCCTTTGGGTGCGGCAGAGCAGAAAACACACTGAAGGAAAGTGGGCTGTTGCTGGCAGACAGGCGGGACTTGCGAGTGGAAATGTTCACCAAGAGCCTGCAAATGACAGACAGGTTCTCTAGGGAAAAGTTCAGGCCTGAAGACAGAGATTTGGCAAAGACCTTCAGAAAGGTGAGGGCTAAAGTCATGAAACTCGATCTCAAAGTGGAAGCAGCAAGAAAGGGACCCAAGAAGGGAATCTAAAGTAAAAAGGGAAAAAGGATCAGAGAAGGAGATGGAGGCTCCACTCAGGTGCTGAGAGGGCATGTGGACCATTTAACATCACAGCTGCACAAGGAACTCCTAAGAAAGAGGGAGAGCCTTTGGGAAAGGCCCAGCCCTCGGCCCCCCACCCCAGAGCCAGCCTCTAAGCCCAAGCCAAGCGGAAGCCCTTCAGGATGCCCACCAACCAGTCCGGACCTTCGGGATCCACTCAGGGATCTTGTCTCTGCCTCATCTGGGATGTTTAATCACTTCCTAAAGTCATCCCCATGAACTCCTTAGAAACAGAAACAACATCTTTCCTTTCTGTATCCCCAGTGCCCTGCATAGCACCCTGTACATAGCCGGTGCTCAATAAATGTTGAAGGCAGCTTTGGCCCTTCCCAGTCTCTGCCCCCAGTGAGACCACACCGTCCATGAGGACAAGCCTGCCGACTGCTCATACTCCTCACCGAGCGCTTCCTGTTCGGCGCTGCCAGGGTCCTTGGCCATGAAGTGATGGGTGAGTTAAAAGTGGCCCTGGGACAGAGGACATACACTTCTCAGCAGTCCCCGCGATAAGTCCAGGACACTGGCAGAAAGTTACAAGGCTCTGGATTCTCCACAGTTCTCGCTGGAAATAAAACTACCTAGACGGAGAACGGAAGCATGCCCACCATTTCCGAACCCAGAAGGCAGTTCAGGAAAAAGACAACCTTCACTTACTGTCCCCTGCGCAGGCAGCAAATCCATGGCCATTCTTTCCTTAGTTTCCTGCCGAAGGGGAGCAGAGTGTTTTCAGGGTCGATCTGGAGAGGGAAAGGGTGTCATGAGGAACTCTGGTGCCAAGGGGTGGCTTACAGCCAAGCATAATGCCCCTCGGGTCCCAACAAAGCCGTTCCACAGAAATGGTGCGAAGCAAGGAAAAAGGTGTGCTTACCAAGCCAAGGAGCACCAAGACAATTTGTCAACCCCTCCGCCTCTCTATGTGAACCATACTTTTAATTTCTGTAAAGTGATGCTTTAACATCCACCGAGGGTCTATCAGTAGACTGTGCCTTACCCACAGACATCGGGAGTCCTCAGATCGCTTTCAACTATGCGTGCACTAACAGCCACAGAGGACGTGCACTTTCCAGCTGCCCCTTTCAAACACGGCCAGCCGGTCCTACCCTGGGTGTTCTGCCGAGCCCTTTCCTTCCAGAAGAAACCACAATGAAGGTGCCCGCCCACATTTCCCTCCCTCTCGGCTGCAGGAGGGAGCCAGGGGCTTCCCGAGTGGCCTGCTTGGAGTGCTGTGTGCTACCTCAGGACAGGGAGAACATAACCTGCGCACTGTCCGTGTGTGCGTGTCTGTCTGTCTCTCTGCGACTACCCTAAAATACTCCACCCAAGGGAAAATGGTTAAAACATCACTCTCACGGGAGATGCAGGCCAGATTGCTGCTCTGGGGCCCTCCGAAACACGGATCCCACAGGTGTCTCCTCTTGTAGCATCCGCAGTCAAACAGCCCTCAGCCTCCCATACCCAAGCCCGGCTTGGAAGACCAAGGCCAGGGGGTACCTGGAGCAGCCAGACAAGTATCAGGGAAGGGCCTTGGCCCCAGCTGCCTGCACTGGCTGCCTGAGTTTGCAGGGGGCTTTTGGGGCACAGCACCCAACACGAGAGCTCAACAGGCTGGGCAAAGGGTGTAGCCTCGGCTGGCGCACCTCAGCGGGAGGGCAGCTGCTGTACACGTAATCCCAGGTGCCAGAGGCACACCTGCTCCACGCCGGTAGTCTCGAGTGCTTCTCATGTATTATTTTTAGTCCTCCAAACAACTCTAAAATCTAAGTATTGCTACTCCATTTTACAGGTGTCAAAGACTGAGAAGTAGGGAGCTTGCTGGCCTGCCCAAAGAAGCGAGCGTGGTTAAGTGTTAGAGGCTGGAAGAGAATCCTGGTCCGAGCCCAAGGCTCCATTCAATGTGTTAAATAGCCTGGCCACCCTGCCTCGGTTTCCTTATCTGTAAAATGCAGGCAGTGTACAGCCAACCTATGTGTAATTGGAGGATGAAATGAGTCACTTCATCTAAGGCAGCTATTTTTCATCTCATAGCACAAATAAACTAGTTACTAAAATTCTGCAGCACACAATAATATATATTTTTTGCCAATCTGACAAAAAAGTAGGTATAATTTTGATTCATTCACACCAGAAGGCTATTGTGTTGGCTGCTGTCCTTTTTTTAATCTGACCTTCTAAGGGAAGCGCAGTCAGTGCCTCTGACTAAATAGTCAGGTGTTGCATGTTTTAAAAATTCTCGCGGCGCACCAGGTGAAAATCGCTGATCTAAGGTGCTTGAACAGTGCCTGGCAAAGCTAAGTTCTCCATAGGCATTAGCCACACTGTGTTTGTTTCACTTAGGAGTCCCACAAAAGGCAGCCACAAAAGACCCACACCCGCAGCCAACTCGGGCGCCCCAACTCCCTGCCCGCAGAGCACCGAGCTCAGGTGGCGGACAGGCTTCTGACCGCAGGCGCCCGGCGTGTCCCCGCTGCCCCGGCCCAGCCCTCTCCCCCTGCACGCACCCCACTCACACGGAGGCGGGCGCTGACACCGCCGCAGCCCAGGGGAGGCAGGGGAGCTTTACAGCCCAAAGCTGGGCGCCCCAGCGGAGCCTGCACCACGAGCCCGAAAAGGCCTTAGCGCTCCAGCAACGCCACAGACCCCAGGGGAACTACGACTCCCATCATGCCCAAGACTACGCTTCCCAGAGGGCACCGCGAAGCAGCCACTTCCGGGAGGCGACCTCTTTGGTTCCGGTCCCTGCGGAGCGAATGGGGACTGCCGTGGGAGTCGGAGCCACGTACGAGGGAGTGTGTGGCACAGGAGCCCCTACGCCAAACTGGGGAGCTGCATAAGTGTTCATGATATTCCAGAGAAAAGCCACCCGGAGGACTAGCAGATGTGGATATGCCATTTATTGCTCACGGTACAGGGGAGTGCGCCCAAGCGTCGGTGCAACGGAGACCGCACCTCCTCCAGGCTGAGGCTCATCATGAGGGGTCCCTGACAAAGGCAGCAGGGGCCCAGGTTGCACAAACCCACGTGCGGCCCGCAGCTCCATTACCGCAGCGTGGACCTGCAGATGGAAAAGGTCAAGAAGCCGCTCCCAAAAGAAGATGATGAAGGAGTTACAATCCACTCCCAAACAATGCACATTCCTTCTGGCCAGACACCCTCTGACCAGCCCTCAGTCATGGGAGGGGAAGGGCCATGTATTGACCCCACAGAGGGTGCGGGGGCTCGTCCCCTCCGCGTGCTGGCTGCCAAAATCAACCTACAGTCTTGTTTCGTTGGGCAGGGGAAATGAATCAAAAGAATAGAATCTGAATTTAGACACCGTTGATAGGGTCAGCACCTAACTAGCTCCCACCAGTTTATGATTGTTTGTAATGATTCTAATGTGGATCATTGTAACACAGAAGCTCCAAACTGGGAGCTGCCCTACACTTGTGTTTGTAATGTTCTGAAAAAAAAAAAAAAATTCCTGGAGGAGCAGCAGCTGTGGACGTGCGGTGGACGTGCCTTTTATCACGCACATTACAGGGGAGCACAATGGGCGGTGGGTGGGCAAGAGAGGCCTGCTGCCTCCTGCCTAGGTGCCCCATCAGGTTAGGGAGGGAGGCGCGGGAAGGGAGGGGGCGCGTGAAGATGCTGCAGGGTTGTGATAAAATGTGTTGAGAAGGCTGGGGCTCCAGACACAGCCTGTTTTCCTCTCTCCTTATGGCTGCTGGCCAGGCAGCCACCAGTTCTCTGGGGTCCTGGAGGGGCCATGTCCTGAGCCACCCCACAACTATACGGATAATATATGAAGAGGCGCAGTTAAGAGTAATAAAACAAATGCCCACTTACCAAACACTGCTTTTGAAAAGGAACGGACCAGTTTTAGGAGCCCTGTCCACAAATGCTCCCTATTCATTTTTCTAAATTATGTTAAGCATCCCCTTGCTTAGCTTGATGGGTTCTTCAAATGTACATAAAATAAGTGTTCACTTCTGCAAGGTTTTGATCTTTATATAAACAGAATCTGCTGTATGTTCTATGATTAATATGTTCTACACAAACCTCTAGATTCATGTATCTTGATACATGCGAAGTTCATTCATTTTTCACTGCTGTTTAAGATTCCATTGCTCATTCTGTCCACAAAAGGATGTCCAAACCTATAGAAAAATTGTATGAGTTTATTTGAGTCAAAAAACTGAGGACATACATAGAAGCAAGATCTCAACAGATTGAGGAAATGCTCCAGAGAACAGTAGTTTTGTAGTTCATTATACATGTTTAGAATCAAAGAAGAAAACTCAAGGAAGGTACAAAAAACCTATTGGTGGTAGATTGAGAAGGCAGGAGAAAACAAAGCAGGGAAATCTCTAGGACTGGATAAAAAAGCAAAATGGAGAGATACTTCTGTTACATTAGTGAGCACGGGATAGCTAACATTTAACATATACAGTAAATAGAAATGGTATGTGAGAAGTTTCTTGGTCTCATAATGGGGTGTCAGCAGCTGTGCCTTAAAGGGGTCTGGAAAAGAAAATTACTGTGATGTTTATCCTACATGCATGAGAACAATGGGCAGGGCTCGCTCAAGGTGAAAATGAACCTTTGCTAAGGAAGCTGTAGGTCTGGGGCATGACTGCCCACCATGACCTGCCCACTTAGGAATTCATCATCAGACCACCCTGTGTGGTTGTTGTGGTCCCTGAGCCTGTCGGGCCTGCCGTGTGGCCCCCTTAGTTTGTCAGGCCTGCTGCGTAGCCCCCTTTTCATTCACAATCATTCAACAAAACTTAATATTCCACACCTACTCTGCACCTGGCATTGTTCTAGATGCTAGAACTACATCAGTGAACACAACTGTCAAAAGCTCTGCCTTCTTGAAGATTAATTTCCCCTAGGGGAAGAGAGAAGGTGATAGACAAGAACAATAAATGGTATGTTTTTAAATAGTGATGAGTGCTAACAAGAACAAGAAAGGACAACAGGAACTCAGGCAGGGATCGGGGAGGACTGCCTCAGTGAAGAAACATTTGACTAAGAAGGTGGCATTTGAAGAAAGACCTGCAGAAGAGGAGTAAGCCAAGTTAAATACCCAGGGGAAGGCTTTCTGGGTGACTGAAAATCAGATGCCCTGCCTGAGCCAGGAGCACACCTGGTCTGCTCAAGGAACCACAAGAAGGCTTCTGCTAATGAAATGGGGTGCAGAGCAAGAGCCCCCACAAAAAAATTCTCCACAGCCCATGGTTGGAGTAAAAGGTGTTCGCAACTTTCAGAATGTATCCTGACTCCTGGCATAGCCAGGGAGGTGGTTCCCCCTGCGTCACTCTTGCCCTGACTGAAAGTGGCAGCGGAGAGAATGTAAACAATATGGGAAGCTGGCAAATGCAGCTCATTGTGGGAGGACCCACATAAGGAGTCATGTAGGAAGCTCCAGGTCAGGATTTAAATGAAGGGTGGGCAGGGAGAGGAGAGCTGGTCTGCAATGAGGGCTGAGAGAGTAGGTAGCAGCTGTGCCGATCTGCAGTGAAGAGGGCAGCCAAGCGAGAGAGATTCAGCCGTGCTGCCGGTAGTGAGATAGGAACCATGTAGGCGGAGTATAGTGGAGAGAGAGCCATGATGTAGCAACTAGGCAGTTTGTAGGAGACCTGGTCTGTCATGGGGGAGAGCCATGTGGGTGGAGTGAGAGAGGCAAGGGAAGGAGGAGGAGTAGCCACAAGGAAGGAACCATGAGCCAAAAGGGAATTCAGCCATGTGTCTAGTAGTGAAGTAGCAACTATGTAGTTTGTAGTGGAGGAGTCAGCATGCTGCCTATAATGATGTAGCAGCTATGCATTTTGTACTCAGGATTTTGCCATGAAGCCTGGAGTAGCAAGGAAAGAGGCATGCTGCTGCTCTGATCGTGCCTGCTGTGGCTGACTTCAGAGTCACCAAGGTCTCTGTCTTGCAAGACGTCGACCTGCTGCCTTGCAGACCCGGACTTTATCTGGGCTCTTGGAACTTGGGACATAGAGAGGCCACTTTCTTGGGACTTGTGCCTTCCTGGACTCCACCATGATCCAGTGTAAGATGGTACATGTTTTCCTGGACTATTACATGGAGGCTGGTGATAACATACCCCGGATCCTGAAGGAGAGCTGCTGTGAGAGGATGGCAATTTTGAAATCCACAAGTGTGCTTTCCAGAGGAAGTGGAAAACTGTTTACACAGCCAGTTTAAGCAAAGATAAGAATATGGGCAACTATTGGGCTTAGTTTTGTTTTATAGTTTGGTGGAGAGCAAGGGAAGTGCTGGGTCTTGTGGAAGAACAGGGCTCTGGGCAGAAGTCCTCTCAGCTCCCCTAAGGTTTCACCCTTGTAAATAAAAACTTGTTTCCTCCAACACTAATTATGGGGTCATGGGTCCTGCTTTGCTCAGTTACACTAAGGCAGGAAGGAGAGCAAGAGGGAAGTTCAGCGGCAAGAGGGAAGATCAGCAGCAAGAGAACTAGAAGAACGTGCAGCCTCTTGTCAGTCATTTCCACTGGATTTTACTCGGACAAGAACGATTCCCTGGGCATTGGAGAGACCTGCTCTGAATTCCATTTTCAAATGGTTATACTCAGCTCTGACTGCTGTGCTGAGTATAAACTAAAGGGTCAGGGCAGATGCGGAAAGACCAAGTCTAGTTGGAAAGCAATTGCAGTAATCTGAGAAAAAGACAGCAGTTGGAACTAAGTTATAAGTGGTTGAAAAAGCCAAAAATTCAAACCATGGAAAAAAATGAAGACGTTCAGAATATTTGAAATATAATGCTTTTCAGCTATGAAGTATATCTATTCTTTTTAAATAGCCCTGGTAATTATATTACATTTTTAAAAATATATTTTATGTTCTGTTTTTCAAAATATAAAAAATTAAGAATGAACTTATCTTCTGACTTCCTTTATACATTAAACAAAATGCAAATTTATTTTACTTTCTGTCCCACTTAGTATTTTAATAACAGGCCAGGACCACTATTTTCCAATACTTTTATATTTCATTTTATCTCTCAACTATGAATTTTAGCAATTTCCTTGAGTTTTATCATTTAAATTTTAATTGAATTTACATTTAACTTGTTTCTTAATTGGTCATGTGTATACCACTGCTTCCCTGAAGGCCTTTGGTGGTCTTGCCGTCTCTCGCCTCTTCACATTACTTACTACTGCCTAGTTTTCAATCCGTGCCCTCTCAGCCACGCCACAGCCTCTTGCCCTTGGCTTTCAGGAGAAATCTGACTGTCCTTCTCCTATAGACTACCTTTCTTTGTTCATTTATTTCTCTATTTTGGTTTTTATAAATCTTCCCCCCCCCCCCGCCTTGTCCTGTATCTTTGAGTATTTCTATATATACTTCCTGTATCTAGCAATTGGTTTTTTCCATTATTTTTGTCTGGGACACACACAAAAGTAGTAAGGCTTTGACCCGTTTTTCCGCTTTCTTCGTTCGCAGCGTGCCGAGCTGGTATTCTGGGTGCCTCACTCTGTATCTCTGATCATCTCATTTTAATTCTTTGTCCTTTCCTCTGTTTTCTGATAAAGCTCTTCAAATTTATCTTCCAGGCTTACAAAATCAAATTTCTCTTTCTAATGTAGTTTACTGTTTTTTAAAAAAATGACCCTCTACTTTACTTGAAAAAATGTCCACACTGGAT